CCTCCCTCCTTCCCAGCTCCGCGCGCCCAGATTCGAAAGTGAGGGGGCTCCCTTTTTAGTGCGGGCGGGCGCGAGGCGCGGCGGTTGGTCCCCATTGCCCGGGCCAACCGTCGCCTCCTCAGCGCAACGGCCGTTCTTTGCCCACCTTCTTTGTCAGTCCCGAGGCTGGAGCCGTTGCTGTCCCGCACAAACCAAACTCTGCCTTCCTCCTCGGGTCCCATTAGTGTCCTTTTCCCCCAAATAATCTACTTTGGCAGCACTTTTTAACTGCCGTAGCTCAGTGCTGTGGGATTATGGGAACTGTAGTTTCTGTTGGCACCAGATCTCTCTGATAAGAGAAGGCTAAATGTCTCACTAAACTATAACGTAAGGAGATCTTGTAGCAGCTTTGAGACTAAGGGGGGTTGCAGACTGCCAGAAATAGTGCAAATTGAGTCCATTTTTAGGGTTAGGGTTAGTGCTAGGGAATCATGGGAATTTTTTGTTCTGAGACATTGAGCCTTCTCTGTCAGAGAGCTCTGGTGCCACAATAAAATACAGTTCCCATGATACCCTAACCCTAAAAGTGGACTCAATTTGCACTATTTCTGGCAGTCTGCAACCCCCCTAACAGAAAGAAGTTGGCAGCATGAGCTTTGCTAGGCTTCAGTCCATTTCCTCAGATGCATCTGGATAGAAGAAGAATGGAGAGAGAGCTTGTAGCAGCTTTGAGACTAACTGAAAGAAAGAAGTTGGCAACATGAGCTTTGTTAGACTTCAGTCTACTTCCTCAGATGCATCTGGATAGAATAATAATAATAACAACAACAACAACAATGTAGAGAGATCTTGTAGCAGCTTTGAGACTAACTGAAAGAAGTTGGTAGCATGAGCTTTGCTAGTAGCACCTTTTAGACTCACTGAAAGAAAGAGGTTGGCAGAAAGAATTTTACTAGATCAGTCCACTTCTGCAGATGCATTATGCATCTTTAGTCTAGGAAAACTCATGCCACCAACTTCTTTCTTTCCTCTCAAAGGTGCTACAATTTCTCTCTACATATAGATTCTGCAGACTAACATGGTTATATCTTTGGATTCTGTCACTAAACTATAGTTACAAGAATTCCATAGCATTGAGCCATGGCAGTTAAAGTGGTGTCAAACTGGATTATTTCTGCTGTGCTGATGCAGGCCACATTCCCACTTACAAATAAATCAGTTTGTGATTGAATCGATGGATCGGTTTGACAGAGGAGCATGGTTCACACTACATTTGCCCCGATTGCATTTTCTTGTAAACTAATCCACTTGTTCACATTGACTAATGAATAGATTCAAAATAGACCCTCTTCAGCCAGCTGGCAAATTTAAAGGGCAAATTTCAATCGATTCTGATCCGCATCTCATTCACTTGCAATGAATAGATTTAATTCAAAAGATGCAGAAAATATTAGGGTCAAAAAGATGTGCATTAAATGGGTCTAGCGCCAAGGGGCTCGCCAAGTGTGAACCAGGGTCACTTAAAACGCTTCAAACTGGTTAGTGAATTAGTTTATAACTAGTGGAAATGAAGCCACAGATTTAAGTCCAAAACACACTGCAGAAATGATTGAGTTTGAGATCGCTTTAACTACACTGGATCATTGCTAGGGAATCCTGGGGATGGTAGTTTATTGAGACACCAAAGCTCTCTGACAAATAAGGGTAAATGTCTCACAAAGCTACAGTTCCCAGAATTCCCTAGCATTGAGCCAAGGCAGTTATAGCGGTCTCAAACTGAATTATTCCATGACCATTTGAGTCATGATATATAATTAAAGTGATGCCAACCTCCATTATTTCTGCAGAGCAGATGCAGCCAAAATGAATGTACCTTATGTTGTGGGTGGTGTTATTGGGCCCTGTAATAAATATTACATGCAAAGGATCATGATTTGCATCTTTCTGGATACTGTTATATTCCATCCTACTCCCACAACTATGTAAATATGTTTTCTATCCTGAGGCCTGGATGTCACGCTGTATTGCATTTGAAGAAATGAGTTTATACCCATAAAAGCTCATGCTAAAATTAAAAACGAATTAGTCTTAAAGGTACCACTGCATTCCTTCTCCCCTCCCCGCCATGTCCCTTCCTCCTCCTTATGCTGCAAGAGACTAACCACAACTACTTCTTTAAAAACTAATTTTAATTTTATTGTGATTTTAAAATGCTGTATTCTACCTTGAATCCTGTACTGGGAGAAAGACGTGATATAAATAAAATACAATATATTCTAAATATAAAATTTCTGCCTCTTATTATTTAAGAACAACAGTCATAAATTCTTCCTCTGATCATCACTCCATTAACTCAAGCATCAGTACCTTAGTCCCTTTGGTTACTTTCACAGAGCACAAGTATCACCAGATCAATCCATGTGCGTTCTTACTACTGATAACAAAAAGGATAGTCTGACCTTAATCTTGCTGGTTGTTCAAACAATGCTATCAATATACATGGTCAGGGCAGGAACAAGACATTTTTCTGCCTGATACAGAGCAGCAAATGGCACCCTTCCTTATCTAGCCAGTTTAACGTGCAAAATATCCAAAGCTGGGGAAATTATTTTGGCAAATGAGGCAGAAATTCAACAAGCACTTCCTAGCTTTGCAATAAAAATACAATAAGAACTAAAGTCACTAAGCATTTGTCGTCCTTTGATGACATCCAAAATTTCCTGATTGAAGCAGATCAACTCACTCTCCCTAACAGTAGTTCAGCTGTTGACAAATTATAACAAGGTTCTAAAAAGCAAGGCCTTGCATTCCTCTTACATATAAAATGTGTCACAGAACTGAGGACTTGGTAGAAAACAAAGGAAAAATTCAAGTAAATTTGTTGTGTGCCTTTGAGTCATTTCCGACTTTTGGGAACCCTATCATAGGGTTTTCTTGGCAAGATTTGTTCAGAGGAAGTTTCCCTTTGCCTTCTCTAGAGGCTGAGAGCATGTGACATGCTCAAGGTCACCCAGTGGCTTTCATGGCCAAGTGGGGAATTGAACCCTGGTCTCCAGAATCATAGTTCAACACTCAAATCATTACACCATGCCATTTACAAAGAGATTTGTTAGCAGTTAAGCATAATTAATGACATGAGTGTGCTCTGTCTAAGAAAATAAAGAGTAATTTCTGGATCAAGACCAGATTACATCCACCTAGTCCAGTAATCCCAACAATTAAACTAGATAGTCCTCCAAATGACAATCTATCTTCAACCCATTCCTGGAGCTGCTGGTGATTATTTGGTCCATCGTGAGACTAGAATTTATGAACAAACACCAACAGGCTATGGGAAAAATTACTTTTGCTCAAGAAAGGGAGAGAGGACCAAGTCAAGCCAGTAGATTTGGACCACTGGTTAAAACTTTCTCTTTTCTTTAAGAGGTATCCAGCTAGCACTACTCAGGTTTTGTGAAGGATCAGAGATGCTGGTGCTAGAAGGATGGAGAAGTCTCATCCTGAACATTTGCAGAATTAGTAGCTTAGGCACACAAAGTGTTAATATTTGTGGGCAAGGAGACAGACTTGTTCTACACTATTAGAAAAGTTTAGGCTAGTGCCAGCCACCAGACTAGCAGGTACTGTAAGTTACGATTTCTCTGAGCTGTAAGTCAAATGAGACAGTGAAAGTGTAATCACAGTGCCTATTTTCTGTGCCACACAATTAATTCCAATTAGCAGTCTGCTTAGTCAGGAATGTGTTCCAATATTAGAATTAAAGGGGTGGCTTCAGGTCAAGAAAAGGGTAAATTGGCAGAGATATTCAGAGGAGGCTGTACACAGTGTGCCAGGACTATGGCTGACTGGAGCTTTGGGCTACCTATCACTACCTCATCTGTACTGAAAAACCTTTTTTTTTTTAATCATACACCTCTTTAATTTGCATCCTTCCTTGTTTTGTATATGCACAGTTTTCTCTGATATTCCATCCTGAAGTTTTATGCCATCTCTCTTTTCTAGAATTTTTTTACTTAGTGGATCAATTTACATGAATATGTGAATATATGTATTTTAAAAAAAAATTATAGCCCATCTATCATAAAACCAAGAAGCCTTATAAAAATTAATATACAAAAAATTGAAGAGAGTAGATAATAAAATAATGAAACCTCACTATGTATTAAATCAAGGCCAGCTTTTCTTTGCTTTGCTTTTCTTTTTTGCTCCTCTAGATTAAAAGTTTCCTTATAAAAAGTATTTTAAAATACCTTGGGAAGCTGCTATAAGGGAATTTCACAGAACTAGAAACAACTTGATCAATCCTTTATTCTCAAAAAATGACAAGGTGATGCTTCAATGTGTGTTGTTGTTATTTCAGTTTCACAGTCTACTAGATGTTACTGACTGGAATTTTGGATCAACAATTATTTTGATACTACCCAAAAATCTAGAAAAAAGTGATGTTATCATTGGATAATCGGCATATTCCAGCTAATGTACTTTTTGCAGTTGTACTAATATCATCGTCTTTATAGTCATTCATATGTTTTGTCAGTTTGTTTGGGATTGCTCCCAGAGCACCAACTGGAACCACGATTATTTTCTTTTCCCAAAGCTACTGAATCTCTATTTGTAGGACTCAATGCTTCATTATGTTTTCCTTCTCTTTGTCCTAGATTCTGCTATCCCCAGAGATTGCCACATCTATAATCCAAATTTTATTTTTCTCAACCACAGTTATGTCTGGTATATTATATTCTAATTGTTTAACAATTTGAATCTTAAAGTCTCATAGGATTTTTACTTAATCATTTTAAAC